CAAAGAAGAGAAAAGGCCAGATAAGATAAAAGTGTGTTACCAGGTCTAACAACATAAAATCAACAAAGACCACAGAGAAAAGTTTATCTGTAAAGACCAGCAACTCTTAGCAGCAAGTGATTCTGACAGAGGAGCCCGTTTTCAGGTTGGATCACTCAGAAGAGACTGGTGAGACGGAGCTGTGTGTCTCTTGGAGTGCCCAGTGTCAAGCCATTGTGAATCACTGTCTGTGTCCCAAGATGATTTACATAAAAAGATGGTTTTGTGGTTTCTGTCCTGCCCGCATCATGAATCTACAACTGCAACCAGCACCTTCATAATACAGAACAGGCCTAAAAGACTTTCCCCCACGTTATAAGATAAGATTCTTCCAGAACAAGCCATAGGACTGAAGAGCGTCATGAAACACTGCAGCAGTTAATTTCCAGTGTGTTGTGGGACTGGATATCTCTTCCAGAAGATGGATTCACCCAGCTATGAAGGTTTCCTCTGTCATTTAAGAAATACCCACATTTGCTGAAGTTCTAATTCATGCATGTGATTAATTTATAAAGTGAAACAAAGTGTACTTGTTAGACAAACTGCATAATGATGAATCCAGAGGGAAAAAATAGAAAGGAGGTACTAGGAGAACCACATGTGAAAACCATATGGAAGGGTGTTCCACCAGCTTGGAACCAGATGGAAGAAAACATTGTCCCTGGACACTGTACAGAGTCCTACTGATAACACATGATAAATCATTCACGGAGTGTAAGCAGGAGAGTGAACATCACCACATACCAAGCTGCGCAGGGACAACAGGACCACGAGCTGGAGGACACTAGATAAAAGGACAACATTAAAAGCTCAGATGTTACCCCCTTGTGCAGATCTAATCTGAGCTATTATCAGCAGGGGCAGCCAGAATAGCTGCAGAAAGAAACAAAAGCACAGCAGCAGGGTTTGAACGCCCTGAGAGAAACCACAACACAGCCCAGTTTGCAGTAATGGGAAGCTCAACAGGGATAATGGAGAATTGTCCAGATATTCACCCCAACAAAGAAGATACGAACCTAATCCTGTACCCAAGCACTAACTTTTCTCTGTGACTTTTGACAAGTCATTTAAGGTCATCTGAAGTCAAAGAGCATCCTCCCATTCACTCCAAAGGACTGCTCACCAGCTGCCTTCTCAACTGTGCTGCATCTCCCCGGAGCCTAAATCCCTTCTTCCACACTCCTGCCTGCTTGACCTGGGCGTTCTCTGTGATGGCGTCTGTCTTCTCAGGAAGGACAACTGATCCTGACACAAGAGAACTCTGGGTTTCACTAGGTCAGAGGAGAGGACAGCAAAACACACATAAAGGACACTCAGGAGTAGGGTAGACAGAAGGTGGCTGTGCCTAATAGTCAATAATTCATTTATAGTCATCAGTATCAAAAAGCAGCGACGTCCGCAGTTGTCCTGTTGGAGATAAACGGGCCACTACATTGACATGGAGCTGCAGCTTTCAGACTGACAACCAGTTCAAGCTTTACATCCAGCTGAATTTTCCAATTCTGCTTATGGCCTGAAAGGTCATTCCCGGCTGTGACTCCTCTTTCCTTGTCAGTCTTTTCATTTCTTGTGTCACAGGGAATTTTCCTATCGGATGAGGGGAGCCTAATGATAAATACAACTACTTCACCCTCTCAGTAGCCCCCATGTGCACAATTATCTGTGTAAGCACCAAATGACTTCTTGCCCTAAGAAAGGCCTGAAATCTCTCTTCCAAGTGCAGTGATTTTTTTTTTTTTTTAATGGTACAAGCCTGCAAAACAGACCCCAGAGCCGGATGGGTCACTGTGCACAGAGACAGACACGCAGACAAGGAAGCTGACCAAAACACATGTATGCAAGGACCACCAAGGATGACCCTAAATTAGACCACCCAGTCACTCTGTCGGCCCAATTGTGAGGAGCCAGAATCTCAGAGCATAAACTGGTGTCCTCACCCGGGTTCCTTGGCCTGTGTTTTAGACCATTGCATATCTCCAGTGACTTCCTGCTACTGACCTCTTATAATAAATCATCCTGGCCAGCCTCCCTCCCTCCTGGCAACATCCTGTTCCTTCCTCAAAAAAACCTCCCACTCACAATTCCAAGGTTCGATATCAATCTTAAATAAATGCCTCTCTGGACTCAGCTGCATTCCCTGAGCCACCTTATCTCCTGCCTCTCTAGAAGGGTTGTGGTTCAAGAAGCACATGCAGAAGCCTCTTGTGCCTTTTAAATTTTAACTCTACCCTTGTGTCCTCTTTCTTTTCCCCATACAGAGAAGAAAAATTACCTTCAGGAGGATGTACACAGCAATATAGATGTGTGCTTACTGTGACTTCTGAAAGGGAAAAAAGAAAGCCCAAGAAAGAGACAGTGCTGCAATTATCTCTGCAGTGAGAAGAGAATCCGTGGGAGAGTTTCTCCTCCACCATCTCCCTTGTTCTGGCTTCCCTCACTTCACAGGTGAAGTGAAGAAAAACTCTGTCAAAACATCTACTCATCAGAGTCCCTTCTTCAGCATCCAACAGCAGGGGTCCAACTGTCTCCATTTGACCCGTCCAATTCCCATCCAAAATCCAGCTTGAACTTGGGTATCTGAGTCAGGAAAGCACCACCCTTCACTCCCTGAATCACCACTGCAGAAAGCACAGGCGCCTACAGCAAGTCAACCAGCCAAGGACAACAGGGAATCCTTCAGCTAAAGAACTGAAGCTAAGTAGGATGAATCCAGGTCCTGCCACGAGTTATGTCTCTGAAAGCCCACGGAATAACTCACAGCCAAAAGGAACCACATTTACTCCTTGATCCAGTGAAGTCTCTTTAATGATATATGTCTTTACTTTCCAACCACAGTGAAGACTGGTTCATGTTGGACTTGATGTAATTTTCACTCAGGAACTCTCCTCCCATATATTTCATTATTTCACCTCTTCTGTAACCCTTTCTGTGACCGTATTTACCCCCACCTTCAAAACCTTCTGCCTGGTGCCTTGCGGGTTACAATACTTCCAAAGAATGGGATCACTCAGAAGCAATGAGATTTGCCTGCTTAAGTTTCACATTTACAAGGTTATATGTGATACTGGTGCCTACCTGCTTACCTACTCTTCTTCTTATCTTCCTTTGCTCTACCCTCATCTTTCCTTGCCTTTACAGAGAGTACCAAACCACCCTGATCATCTAACCAACTCCCTGGAGTCCATTTCAATGAGGATCTCTTTCTCGCATGAGAAGAATTCCTTGGGTCTCCCCAGATTTGCATCCCTTTTTTTAAAATGTAAGCGTAAACGACTAATTCATTAGCAATTCGATTGCTAATGCTAATTAGCAATAACGAGCCAGTGATCATCTTTACGAAAAGCAGCAGTGAACAAGCAGGTTTCCAAATTGAAAGAACAAGCTGGAGAAGAAGCAAAGAAAACAGGCTTTAGTCAGAAAAACAGAGTGGGGTGAGTAAGATGGCATGGCAGTCTCTCCTAAAATGCCCCCAGAGTTTATAAAGTAATCTTATTCCAGCCCACACATCCCTCAGATGCCCTCCATCTCCTTATCATCCAACTCACTCAACCATGTCACTGACATATGTACTTAGCGGCAGTTATCGTCAGTGGCACACAAATAAATGGCAGGTATCAAAGAATCAAGGTCGTCAACTCGTCATGAATATTTCAGAGAGAAGCAACATGAAAAGCTCAAGTGTCCCAGCCTCTCGGATTTCCAACAGAAGGAAAAAAATACAAACCACCACACGCGCACACACACACACACACACACACACGGTCTGCTGGCTTGGCCATCACATGCACGTAGTTCATTTCAAGGCAATACTACATATGTTACAAGACAATCTGTCACATTTTAAAAATATATAAATATATATTATATATCTCCTCTGTATAATGTGCAAACTCTAAGCAGCTGGCAAGAGGGCAGTGGTGATTTAATGCAAGAAAACTGTGCTTTGCTGAAGGGGCTGGGGACTAGATAGCTGGGGTTGTAACAAGAAGCCTCTTTGACAAAGGCGCAGAGTGGCATCTTTTCACACAATTATATGTGGGTCACATTAACCTCTGCTGTGCAGGATTCCCTTGAGCTGCTGCTGTCTGCATGTCGCTGCAAAGAAATCAAAGCAGAAATTCCTCTCTTTTTCTTTTTCACAGGCTGGGGCACTGCAGTAAAGGTTGGAGACGGAGCAGGAAGGGGTTCCTGGCCTGGCACACACAGGGGCAGCTGCTGCCATGAGGTTCCCAGCGAAAGCAGCAGCAAATTCCATGCTTTGGGGCCCAGCAGCTTCATTAATGGGATATGTTAATCAATGGACATACCTGAGACTTCAAGCTGTGGCAGTGCACTATAATATTTGGGTATTTGGCTATTTATCGCCAAAGAGACTTCATTAAGTTTCACTTTCAGCACTTACGCCAGACGCTGTTTGGAAACTATTTGCAGACAGAGGGACAGAAGGCAGACAGATATTTTTTCACAGGCTTTGGAGATACAAATTTTCTCCTTGTCAAGTACAACTCAGATTTGCAAATGGAAATTTCATCAAAACCACCATAATTCATCAAAGAAAGCAAACATTTCTGTAACCAAATCATTCCGGCACTCCACTGTTCTGGGTTTGCTTGGTTTTTTAATGTTTGCAAAGAATTTATTTATCAGACAACTCCGTTTCTGGGAGGGGGGTGGCAAACATTCAATGAGATTAATTTCCCACTTTCTAGTGTCTTGAAAGTCTGTCCTTTATATAGGGTTTTTTGTTGGTTGGACATGGTATATAGCAAATGATCTTTATGTTCCATGGCAAACTGGATTTAAATGACAAGATCTTCTAAATTTGAGAAAGTCACCGTGAAAACCCTGCTTTCATTTATATTAAACTGGGTTCTTTCTCAATGAACTCATTTTAGAAATGAAGGAAACATTCCTTGCAGTGACAGCTGATACTTACATTGTCATTCATCTCCAATTATTTTGTTCATTCACACGTTTTCAAGACCAGTGGGGTGCAGGGGTTTGAACTTGCAAAACACAAGAAGCCGAAAAAGCCTTTGAAGATGCTGGAGACTGTGAGATAAGGACACAAATTGGAAGTGTCTGCCAAGACACCTAAAAGCGAAGATTAAGACCAACAATTTTGAAGGTATTTGAGCATTTTTCACATGTTGAGATCAGTTCCAGATCATGGTCTGATATTAAAAAGTACACGGTGGCATTGCCAGAACCAGTAATTGCTGCTCACCTTTCACCCTCCGCTGCACATTTCCCATCCAGGCCAAAGTGCTCTTTCCACTCATTTGTGCCAGGAAAACTCTGTGACCAGGCATTGAACCAGACAGAGGAACTTCTCCTGCTTTAAACAAACAAACAAACAAACAAACACACACACTAAACCTTTTTTATTTTCTTTCTTTTTTTTTTTTTCTTTTTTTTTTGTCAAGTTGCATTGCTCCTCCCAGCTGGTTCCCAACCACAGCAGTAGCTGTGCCAGCGCAGCAGAAAGAACAAGAGGCCAGGAGACAACAATGTCTTAAACCAATGTTACCACCAAGCAATTTGTAAGATCAAACCACAGGCTAAATCTCAACTAAAAGCTTTTCGGGTTCAGAGTGAACACCTCTATTAAGATGAATTAAGCAATTCACAGTGTTCAGAGCTGCAGTTTCAAATGTAGTTTAAACCTTTATTTTCAACACTTACTCCTGTAGCAAAAATGGCCTGAAAGAAACCAGATAGGAAGACCATTAATTCCAGGTTTCTGTAGAACAGGTTTTTTGTGTATATTTTGTTTAATACAAAAGCATATCTCTGCATTGCAGTCACTACCACCGTGACTCCACTAAACTGCAGAGATACCAGAACTACCTTAAAATTCACTAGTGTGGGTCCTGATAACCATCTAGTCTCAACAGCAGAGGCTCAGCACGGACTAATTTGTCCTGACAAGATTATTTGCAAATTAGGTGAGGAGGTCAGACAGCTGCCCTATAACCACACAAAAATGTAGTAAAGGTTGGCTCCAGGTTTATACCCTACCTACTTTCTAAATGTTCTTCACAGGGCGGTCGCTTCGTGTGCCCCCTCAGTGCCAAGTTTCACCCACTCTTAGACCCAGTTTCAGCCAAGAATATGGTTAAATGCCTTGCTCAGGCTGAGATTGCAGGTGTCTACTCACCTCAGTTGGGCGTCGTTCAGCTGAATGGGAGGAAACAGATCCTCAGCTGGGAAGACTTGAGTGTGGTGATGGTTAACACCAGGCAGAAACTGGATCACTGGAATTAAACACACGTAAAGCCGAGGAGGGTGGGAGCAGGTTTTGCCTTGAACTAACAACAAAATGGTTTCTAGATGTTTATACATCATATCTCCACGCTAGATGTAAGAGCCTGCCCCATCTGGAGGGCTAAACGAGTCAGATGATGTTATTGTGAGAACAATTTTGGATCACAATCAGAACATCCTCCTCCATGATGCTCCTCAGAGGGTCTGTCTCTGTTTTGTCATGCGGAGGCAGGAGCTGCCTGTCAGTGAAATGAGCAGAGGACAGAGGGATTTCCCACACGAAATGATCCAAACCCCACGGACTCACATGAACCCATCCCAGATGTCTCAACAGTTTGTACCGACACGAGCGTGGCCAAATGACAGAAGGAGCTGGAAGAGGGTTGACACTTGTCTTTAATTCTCAGCTTTCTAGTCTAATTGGAAAACAAATTGCTGGAGTTTATTCCCTGCCCTGTATTTTTGGAATCTGGGAAGCACTCACAGAAGTGAGAGTGCCTGGTCTGAGCCATTGCACACCCAGAGGGCAACATCCTCTCAGTCCCACATGTCTGTAGAAAAGGTGTCTGGCCACTAACACATAGTTGCATCATGGACATATCCTACATGTCACCATATGTAGATGGGACACAAAAGCAGCACACACACCAGACTGACCAAAAACCTGTGTGATCTTCCAGTACCATCACAGGAGCAAGAAGATGCACAAGTACTTAGGACAAGAATAAGAAATGCCATTCTGAGTCAGGCCAAAAATGAGTCTAGCTCAGTACCTGATCTCCACCAGAAGGCACGGGCAGGCTGCTTAAGGGAGGACATGAAAACCAGGTCCTCCAATGACTGACCTTTCCCTGTAACACCTGGCTATCATTTTTATGAACGTATTTATGACTTTGGCCATCGTATTCCTTGGCAATGACGTCTGCATTCTATTTAGCCACTCATGTCCCAACTTATTCCCTTGTATTTGTTCTAAACAAATTGAATTTGAAAGGTTCTTCTGGTCATCCTGACTCCAATGCCTCCTTTATGAGAGTTGTTGAGGAAGTTTTTCAGTAAAATTTCATTGAGAAAGCTCAATTGTGTTAAACTGAAATTTCTCACAAAATGAATAGAAAAGATTCAAAAAGAGTACATTCTCGGGTCCTGCATGGAGTTTCTTCTGCCACTCCGTGTATTGTTTTTAGGGTTACCATGTGTGATGTGGGTTATATGAGTTTCACACTACTTGCAAGTATTTAACCATGTGTCCTAAACCTGAATGCTTCCAGGAAGAGAAGCTACAGAAGCCCCTCTCAGCCTTCCACGGGATCTGAGCCACTCGGACCCAACAGGAAGACTCTGGCTGTAGTCCATGATATGAATAAGGTAGAGATCTGAGTTTTGATTTCCCATCTCACAGCCACATGCCATCAGCACTGGTTTATTCTGGGGTGATTGAGTTTCTTTTTCTAGTTTCAAGTTCTCAAGTTTTGCTTGCTCTAAACTAGAACAGATATGAAAACCCTTTCTCATTCCCAGTTCTGTTCTCCTATGTGCGTTTCCTCTTCACTTGACCTTCACTGTCAAACTTCTACTTCCCCAGATCTGCCTTTGCTTCTCCAGCTGCGATCTACTTGCCCTCCCAAAACTTACTTCTTTCCTGTACCTCCATATTTGTTGAACAAATTTTTGCCCTGTTATTGCAGTGAGGTTTCCCTCACTCAGATCCTGATACTGACTCTCTCTCCCTGACACCTTAGGTCTAATTCTGACAAAGGCAGATGGATGCAGTACAGATTTCTTCACCTAAGCCAGCATCATTAGAAAATCTTTACAGTCAATAATAGGGAATAGAAATTTCCAAGGCATGATTCAGATTATCCTGAAGTGAATCACTGAACTGGAATATGGGTGAGTAAATCATGTAAACATCTACAGTGTAAACAGCTAAACTCAGAAGAAATCACGCCTTCTCTCTTTGCTGAGACTCCTCTTGGCCACAGAAGAACGTCACGCGCTCCGATTTGTTCCTTGTTATTTTGTAACGATACACGCAAATAAATTATAACTTGGCTATCTACTAAATCAAAACTATGGATAAACCTTTTTTTCACCACTTCAGGAACAAGCCTTTCTTAATAACCTTGTGCATTGAACAGTTTTTGTAAGACTCCTGCTCACCAACTGGAGAATTTCCAAAGGTTGTGGGGAAGGAAGCAGTGCTAAGATCCTGGGGCCCTCCCTGAGCACCCTTTCTACCACCTCCCATGTCTGAATAAGAATCTGAACCCCAAACTCACAGTTCTGGTGTGAAAATGGCCTGGGGATGGGGCTGTCCCTCAGGCAGGCAGAGGCCATTTAGGACAAAGTTATTTGTAACCCTTAGAGTAATTCTAAAAGCTTTTTAGGTAAAGAGCTGAATTGGTTTCTGTCTGAGCAAATCTGACGCATAAAGAGGTAGCCCCATCAGGAGGTGACATAACCCAGATGCCACAGTGACTTGACACTGACTTTACAGCACTCTAGAGAGAGGAAGCAACTTCCCCTTGATCAGGCAACACCCAGGACCTCTCCTGCATCACTGAACACTCAGAGACGCCCCATCCCGCTCACCTCCCCCTAGACAAAATGAAATGTTGTCCCCTATGCATCATTCATCAAAGCCAGGCCCCGTAATTAATAGCACCATTTGTTCAGGGGATTTCAACAGGTACTGAAATCCAAAGCATCAAAGCATGGCCAGTCTCATCCTGGTCTGGCAGATATAAATATGCCAGGAGGACTTCACAGACAGGACAGTGACTCGGGAATCAACGTCCCTCTAAAAGGGGTTTTAAAGGTCTTTCAAAACACGGAGATACTGCAAAATAGGTTCTCGGCTTCAGCACTGATGACACTAAGAAAGCAGTTTTTGATTTTTTTGAGGCAAGATTTAGGGCTGGAATTGTCTTCACAAAAAAAGGGAACAGCCACAATTACAACTACCAAAGCTTCAAACACTCAACAAACTGGGAGCAGCAAGGTACCATGCAGGCCTGATCGTGCTGCCTTTCCCTTTGGCAACACCTCCCATCACAGCAGCAGAAACACAGGAGTGGTTGTTACCAAGAGGCTGTTGTCCACATCAGAGGTTCAGTCCAGGCCCTACCAAGCCAGAGACACAGAACTTGGTTGGAACCCCTTTCTTCTACCACTGCAGCACAGAATGGCTCAGCCCAGCACATCTCAGCCTCTTTCTTAAAACTCCTCAGCTTCTCTGGAACAATTTTTTGGGGCCTGTGGTTTTTCAGCAAAGTGGAATTTAAAGAACAAAACCTTGGTTCATTACATCATGGCTCCAGTAATGTCTAGGAACATTTTACATTTGATAAAACCTCCCCAGATTACCTTCTGAAAGCCTTGCGGTCAAGTCACAGGGCTGGAAACACAAGAATGATGTAAGTAACCACTGAATAGCTCATAGCTCAGTTCTCTCATGATGTTAGCAGAGAAACTTGGGAGAGGCATCGCTCCTCCTTCATGGAATGTGGTAATTAGCTGAAGTCAAGGAACTGTTACGCCTATGGAAAGAGAGGAAGAATGGCCTGGAGTTAAGAGATGCTTAGTCTTGCTTTGGCAGAATTCCGGGTCCAAGGCTGCCCACAGTGCCCACTCTCTGCAGGAGTATTGCCCCTTCTCATCTACCCCCTGTGGCTTGGTTCCTCTGGGTATATTATCCCACCTCCTGCCCCTCTGGTCTGGAAGCTCTCTAGGGAAAGAAGGTGAAAGACCCATCTTTGACAGTGAATTTGTAGGGTGTGAGACTTTGCTCTCCACCCTGGTTCTTTAAGTAGAGGTGAACCTTCCTTAAAGTGAGGATTCACGCCTGAAGCTTGGTGATATGGGTGCTAGAGCACGTGGTCAGAGGGCATCCCTTCCAGCCTGAGGGGTTTACAGATCTTACCTCTGTTAAACCCAGATAAAAATGGCAAAGCACAGGGAGATGAAAAATGCCAAGCTACACAAGGAGAACCCAAGGTAAACTTTTCAAGAAACCCTTACTTTAAAGGGAATCTCTGTTTCATCCTTGTACTTACTGCTTTTAGAAGACAAACACTTAATTTCACAATGTATTATTAACTGGATAAGCCCTGTGCTTTGGTGGAGTACTGTACTCTGCCTAACAGAGACAAAGTGTGAACCTTAACTCTTCACATAAAGCCATGTAAGTACAATTTGTGTATTCAACAATGTAAGGATGGGCAGGAGTCAACCTTAAAGTTCTGACCCCAGGTGACTTCTCCCATGTCACTCGAGTTAAAGACAAGTTGAGGCACAATAACCAAGAATTCTGATTCCCAGACTGTACTTACAACCACTAGTTCATGCTGCTTCTCATCAGAGCAATGTCACCATGAGACTTTTATCCAACTGAGCAAGCAGAAGTGACAGCAGCTCTTTGTTGTGATTGGCCCCTAAGCCTCCCTTGTCACACCATAATTAGTTAGCTGGATTGCTTTATTGCAATCAGGGTATTCCATTCGCAAGTGCATTTGGATGGCTAATTCAAAGATAAGTCTCAAAAGCAGAGAATACTACAATGGTACAATCCCTAAGAATGAGAGGTTTCTCTTAACTGGGTGGCTCACCTATTTTGTTTGCTCTCTGTTACAGATTTAACAAAAGTCTTTATTTGGGGTATTCCATTCGCAAGTGCGTTTGGATGGCTAATTCAAAGTCTTAAAAGCAGAGAATACTACAATGGTACAACCCCTAAGAATGAGAGGTTTCTCTTAATTGGGTGGTTCACCTATTTTGTTTGCTTTCTGTTACAGATTTAACAAAAGTCTTTATTTTTGCCTTGAAGACTCAAAGGAGTTGGAGCTTTTGTTGTAGGCACAAGAGTCAAGGACAGTACCTGTCCCAAAGAGCTGACCACAGGCAACAGGTAAGAAAAAAAATAATCAATAGTAACACTAGCTCTTCCTCTTTATAAATCAGGAAATGATCATGAGGAGATTGAATGAGCTGTGTGGCATCATTTCAGCTGAACCGGAACCCACAGCTTTAGGTTATGACTCAACCAGAAGACCACCCTTCCTCCTGAACAGTCGCTGGAGGTCTAAATGTGAGTAGCCTGGCAAAGGAAGGATTATATGGTTCAGCTGAAGATTTCTGGATACCCCGAGGCTTTGCCACAAACCCCTCCATGCCTTGGCACAGGTTCTCTGTCAAAGCGGCTGAAGATAAATGCTCAGGTCTGGTATTGGTCCCAGAAGCCCATCCACAAGCTTCAGCACTAACTTCCTGGTAGGTGCCTCCCTTTCAAACTGGAATACAATTTACAAAGCCTTTAATTTTAAACTTCCTCATCACTGACTTAATAAAACTAAATGACAGGTAATGGTCTCAGAAGCCAGGAACTATTAGATCTTTCTCAACACTAATAAGGGCTGATCAGACGCTTGTGCACTCCTTTTCCAGCTCATGAAAGCCCAGCTCCCCAAGGACTCCGCAACCGAGGGAGAAAAAGGAAACCAACCCTCTCACAGGCAAGAGAAGAAGGGAGAGAAAAGGGAAAAAAAAAAAAAAAAAAGAAGGAAAAAAACCATGTCAATGTGAACACTTAAAACTGAAAATGGGTAGCAGGATCACTGTGGATAATGCCTGCTCTCTTCTTGGAGTTCATCTGGGGCCCACGTGCTCGCTCCATTTCCCCACCAGGGCACTGGGGGCTCTCCGAGGCGCTACAGGCATCGTGGCTACACAGAGCCATGGAGCAAACCGGCTCTGATTTCTGCCCAAAGGCATCAGTGTCACACCGGTCGGGATGTCAGCTCGGGAGAATGTCAAGGCAGCAGTCACGGTGTGCTGTCACAAAGAGAAATAGATATCATTTCAAACACACAGCTCTGGAGAGAGGAGGGAGAGGCAGAAAAGATAATCCCATAATGCACTTTTTTTGGGGGGGGAGAGAGGAACAAGGAGGCTTAACTCTGCTTTGGCCACACCAGAGGAGGCAAAAGACACATCTTTACAGCCAGTGTGTCACAAGGCTGGGAGGGACAGGTGGCTTTGCCAGAATAGACCCAATTCTCACCTCTTTTATATGCTTTTGGTTAGAAAAAAGGATCTGGAGTTGGCCTCCTAAGACTACTTCCTGATTTAAGGTGTTCCTTGGCCAGCACAAAGCTTCAGTCTTCACGTCTACCACAAAGGAGAACGACAGCGGTGTGGTCGCAACGATCATGGCTCCAGTGGGTTTCTGTCCTCCTCAACTTACACCTCCACACTTGAGTTATAAGAGAGGCTTAAAACCCAACCTCATTCCTACCCCAATTGTCTCAGTAAAAACCAGGCCTTAGAGCCTCTACGTCACAGGTCTAAGGCAACTCTGGCCTACACCCACTGCATTACACCCTTTTCCAGAGAAGGGTGGTTGTTACACTCGTAGCTCACCCCATGACAGAAAACCAGCGAGGTTACTGAGGCATTATTTGGAGATGCTCTACTTCATCTACCTAACATCCAGGCCACAGTCAGGACTGCAAAACACAGGAGCTACCCCAGCTCCTTCCTCTTTTCTTTTCTTTTGTCAATATTATGTGGCTTTTGCTTTTGTTTCACTGCTGGTCAGGATGGTATTAGATCTTCTGCTTCTCTTTCCCAGACCTCTTTCCCAGATCACCCTTCTTTCATGCTGATTCTCTATCTTACCATGGTTGCAAGGCCATTTGCCATCCAGTGCACCCAGTTGGAGCGAAAAAACTTCTTTGTTGGAGGGTAAAAAGAGAGTGTCTTTACCTCAGTCCCTTTCCCATGGCTACAAGAACAGAAAAGAGCAAATTATCCATTGCAGAAGCAAGGAGTGAAGGCTATTATTCCCATTTAGATCAGCATCCCTCATACCAGGTGATATCACTACCCAACAAGGAAAACAAGGTCCACAGGAATATAGGAGACAGCTGGGGACAGTCCCTGAAAGGAATTGCAGGCCAATCCTTCAGGCTAGGACAGAAGAAGACATGAACACAGGAGGTACCTGGGGTTTAATGCAAATCAGGGCTAGGGATTAAATCTGATGGATGCTGCCATCTATTCTCTTTAGGTTTTGGGGTCCCAGGTGGTAGCAAACCCTGATCATCAGTGGCAGCTTCCATTTCTACTGGTTTTAACAGGTAAAATTTCATTAAAAACGTGCCAAGGGTTCTGCCCACAACAAACAGTGACAGTATCACAATACTCCCAGTATCTTCGACTAGGTTTAGGTAACCATATTTTCAAAGCAAGAAACGCTTTTCAAATAACACCTTTTACTGTCACAAAAATGCCATCCAAGAGCATGTGTATTTTAACAAAAGGGAAGGGGATGGAGTTAATTTTTGAGAGAAACATGACATTTCCAAGAGCTGATTATTCCTCATTCCCCATAAATCATTCGCTTTCTGCCCACGTGCGCAAAGGGAACAGGACCAAGGAGTCTCAGGCTTCCCCTTTGAAGGCAGCCCAGTGGAAGGCTTGGAGACGACACAGCGAGCTTATCTCATTACCCCACCACTGATGTCTGCCTAGCGTTTCTGATATACAAAGTCTGTATCACAGAAAGCCCTGGAGCCTGTTGCAATATAATTAATGTGATAGGAAATCTTGTACTGGAGCACAGCCAGGATTTTCATCACACTCAAACCTCACTCAGTAACCACTGGACTTTCCATTCCTCCCTCAGCCACCCACCTTATTTGTCTTTGCTTCCCAATTCCTCTGAAGCACCTTTTAAACCCTATTGACATGATTGTTAGCTATAGTAGCATGCAGGATCTATGAAGGACTCTCTGTCTGGAGCAAATTCCTTGCCTGCTGGCTCGTCTCTAGCCTAAATCAAGGTTTTCTTATCCCTGCATGTGACACTAGCTCATATAGCCTTGAAACCTCTCACTTCCCTATTCCCTTCAGGCATTTTTATACTTAAAGTGGTTCCTCCTTCCTCACCCCTGTCCTTTTCCTCCCAAGTTTGGCTTTCCACATCAAATTCTTTCAGCTTTTCTGAACAGTGAGAAATCTCCCAAGGCCCTGCATTATTCTGGTTACCCTATACTTTGCCCCGTGCTCTGGATCTCTCTCTGATAATAAGGTGCATACACTGTATATTACAGCTGTAGAAAGAAGGGGGATTTATACATATGGCCTCTTCTAAGTGTAATACACAGGCCTGGATCCTCTCCCAACATCTGCTCTTAGTCTGGACAAAGGGAATGAAAGATGTTACAAGGTTTGTAGCTTGTGTAAGAAAGATCTCATGAAGAATTGCAATAGTGTACTCCTAGCCCATGGGAAATGGGTATGGACAGCCTCTTGGAACGAGGTGTAGCCTTGACAGGGATGCTTCATCTTGCAACAGCAGCTTTTTCACTGCACTCCTTACTAGTAAATAGCAAATAGCATTTGTATTGCTTCTTACAACACCGCAGTGTTGGACAGATGAAAATATCTGTAGCCCGTAACAGACAGGATTAATAAA